AGCAGGAAATGGAACCGAAGCTTAACTGTCCAAAGAGGCTACGTCTCCACATTAAGCAAGACCCTTGGAACCTGCCCAGCAGCGTCCGGAGTCTTGCCCAGAATATCAGAAAATTTGTTGAAGGTTAGTAAGAACAACATGACCATAAATAAACACTTCATTAACAATAGAGAGCCTGGGGAAGAGAAGTAGAAGGATACAACTGCTTCATGTTGCTGCTAGGCAAGGTTTGCTGAACACCATGTAGTCTATGGGAAACACCTGAATTTCAGGACTTTTTTATGTTCTTAATAACAATGTTAGTGGAGTATATCTCAGCTGTCTCATGTTCATCCTATTGGCTTCATATACTGAAAAGAAAATTGTCTTTTCTGACAAGTGAAAACAAATGAACCATATGTTGCATGGACCACCTTATTTCAGTTGCTGCTGAAGTCCAGTGGGCTTGACTGACTTGTTACAGAACTTCATAGGACTGATACACCAAAATGGGCCTTTCCTTGAAATCAAACTCCCTTTTTTTCTATTGTCTTAAATGGAAAGATGAAGACTCTGCAGGACAACTTCTGTCCTATGTCTTGCTCTTATCTGTCATTGGACTGGAATCATTATCCCTCTAGAACCATGCTCCCTCTCCTGCCATGAAACCAAACCTCTCCACTGGTTTTCACTTACTCACTCAATCACAACTGATCCTATCACTCCTCCTCCTCCACCTCCCTTCCACCACTGTCTTGAAGTTACCTAGTACTCTACTACTCTTCACACCAACTGATAGTGTGAGCTGGGATTTTCTGCTCTCCCCCCTGGATTCATGAAAAAGTAAGTTTCCTCTCCAGAAAATCTTACTTGTAATTTCTGTTTTATTTCCTGATAGAGAAACAGAAATAACAAGCAAAATGTTTTTTATAAAACTACCTGCACTAGGAGTCTACATGGGAACAAAAGCTTGTCAGGTCTATCTTTAAATTATTTGTGTGTGTGGGTTTAGCTTCTTTTGTTTTGTTGGCTAATTTCCATGGTGTCCCAGAAAGAAACTGCTAAATTTCAGATCACTGGAAAAGAACTTTGTGATAATTATTAAGATAAATTTCCAAAAACCAACTGGCCAAACCAAACAAACTCCTCCTTTTCTGACTTTTGGTATTTCTCATTCCAGATATAATCATATTTTCAGGCCTTGGGTTAGAAAATTATAAAAACAACTACAAAAATATCTCCTATTTTTGGAGTCAATAACAGTGAGTTGGCTCTCTGATACTAAGAGTACTTCTTTTAGTTTAACGGTGGCTGTCACTGAGTGAAAAATTAATAAATATTTTTGGATCTTTTTTCTACAGGTCTATCTTCAGCCTAAACCAAATTATATTCAAATATTAATCTTGGTTTCTCTCACAGTTAGGAGGAATCAAAAGATGTCTTTAACAGTCCTTCATTGCCCCCCTTCTGAAGCCAAGCCTAACAGACCTTTTTCACATAACTTGTTTGCCCATAAATATAATTAGTAGACTTAAGCCATTTCAACATTAGTCATATACCCTCAGTATTGAGCTGAGATTATTCAGATAAATATGGTTTTAAATCTAACAAAGGATTTCGTGGGAGAGTTCAGCAAGGTCCAAATGACTTGCTGCCTCCCTAAAATACGAAACTTTTCTTCTTATGATACTACTATAATGTAATGGTGATACTCATCACAAGGAATCTTGATGTTTACAGAACAATAAAACTGTTGGCATTTTCTAGTGTTTTAGAAATAAGGATTAAAATAGGTTTTCTCTGTTAATAAGTCATAGTAATTAGCTTTATTGCAACTGTCATGCTTGTGAATGGTGCATGGTTCAGAGAGCTAAAGAGTGAAAGACATTATTCGTGTGTTGCTCAAGAACAGCACACGCTCTGCCTTACCTTCTCTCATCGCTGTGTCTCAGAAGTTGTCTGCCAGTTTTAAATATTCTTGTCTTTCCCTTTCCATCCATGGCATATGAGCTTTTGTCAGAGATTTCCAAGAACTGGCTTTTGTGCCATCTTCTTAACGAAATACTTGGATTTACATGTAAAATTATAATCTTGAGTTGTTTATTCACCATCAGTCTTCACATCTTTCTATTCTCTTGTAGTTATTTTTCTTTAATTTGATTCCTATTCCACCTCCATCCCCCAAACTGGCATCACTAGTACTTGTTGAGGAGAAGTACTCTGGAGAATCACGATCCACATCTTTGTCATAATTTTGACTCACCTGTGGGACCAAGGAGTTGGTGTGATGTAAAGGATACCTGAAAGCCTAGGTTCTCGTGCCTTCCCTGGCACAAATAGCATGAAGGAGAAATAGGATAATGGAAGTGAATAATTGCTTCTCAAGCCTTAGTTATCAAGGCATGTCTGGACAGGTATATCTAGTTCAGTGTTGAAAAGATTCAGGGCAGAAATGTTCCCCTTGGGCAGTGTTGGAAGACTGCTGTTATTTAGACAGACTTAGGCCTATATAAATTAAACTTGAGACAGAACCAGCAGCTGGATCTAACTGAAATCAGATGAGCACAAAGCAGGGTTAAAAATGCTTTAACAGCTAAATTTTCCCTTCATATATTCATTTCTTGTTTTCTCCTTTCTAATCTTGGCATTACGCATTGTGTTTACAAATGGTCAGGGTAGCTAGAAGAACTATGGGTACTGCCCTGAGCTATTTCTGGCTGAAAACCTGCCTCCCCATTTTCCCTCTTATTCATCTGTTTCAGAAAAAACAAAAGATGCCCCCTAATTTGACTGCTTGGTTGGGCTTATGAGAACAAGTTGAACAAAGTCTTGGGATTTTAGAAGAATCTTCATGTTTATTTATAAGTAAATGCATTATTTTAATAATTGAGAAAAACAGATATATTGGTCTCTTCTAGCAGGTTCTAGAGAAAGTAGTCAAAGGAGACCACAGATAAAACTTTGTTCACCATGGGGAAAAATTATTGTGAATAAAACCTCAATTTGTTATAAACGTGCTTAACCATTACTGATTAATGCTTTCAGTAGATGCATCTCCTTATTGAAAACTGACTTATTTTTATTTTTATGAAAATATCACAGGCTATTTTATTTTTTTACTTATTGTTCTGTTGCCTTCTAGGACATACTGTGTCAGACCAATTAGTGCTTTAAAGCAGAAGGAGACATGGAGCCCTACAAAAATGAGACGTTACAGTCCTAGATTCTTTTTGTTAACTTTGTTTAATAAATATGAAGAAATTAGAAAACTCAGAATGCATTGTGGATGATTGTTCTAGTCTGATAGTTTTGTTTTTTTTAATTAGTACTGGAATTGGGAGAACAATTTTAATAAAATCTGTGAAAGTTGGCACAGAAGAAAAAAAAAACCAACAAAAAACAACAAAACCAGAAAAACAAAACCAGAAAATAAACCCGACCAAGCCTTCCTTGTCAGTACATTTAAAACATATGTAGAGACTGCTTTGTCTCATTTAATTTGTCCTACCATATCATTAGAGAAAGAAAAGTTTTCTAGGGTTACAGTGAAAGGCAGCCCCAGAGGGCTAATCAAGTTGAGAGAACTGAAGAGTTCTCTGAAATAGTGCACAGATTCTAGGAGGATTTATCTGGAGCTAAGTAACTAATGAAAAGATGAATGTTTTATCTTGGAGTGACTGGGCCTACTAGATTGTTAAAACAATAGAGAGAAAGACAAGTTGTTGGCAGAGGCAGATCTTTGAAGATGGAGTGCTTGATTTTGGTGCAGGTGAGAGCAGCAGTCAGAGCAGGAATTCAATGGTCACTGAATAGAGGAAGAATAATGTAGGTACAGGATTCTGGATGTACATTAGCATCGGAATCAGGAAAATCAACAAGATGCATGGAAAGAAATGGACCCTTCAGAAGGAAACTAAACCAAAACTGCCCAGCATAACAGTAAAAAGGTGTAAAGAGAGCAAAGACAAAGAGAAATTACTGTAATTGCTTTTTCCCAAAGTAAAAAAAGTAACTTTTTTTTAATCAAAAAAGAAATTGTTTAGAACAAGTCATATTTCTAGTAAGCTAGTCACAGAACTACGTGAAGAAGTGCAGTTATTTTGCTAGCACAATAATTTTAAACAGTAAATACTATGCAATTGAGAAAGTCCACATGTATTTTAATTTAAATTAGGACTGAGACATGAAGGAGCCTCTCAGTCATTAAAAGCATAAAAATGTATCTCAACTTTAATAATAAAATATACATTGCAAATCTTAGTCTTATTTTGAAAATACCTTCAGATGTCAGAAATAAAATAAAAATAAAATCTGCCGTTTACTGGCAAAGATCCAAAGATGGGCAAAAAAAAAATACAAAAGAATGTTAAAGAAGAAAAGATGCTGAAGGCATCTTGCATTACAAATTATTTGATCTAAAGAGAAATTGCTAGGGAGATACTCCTTTCTGTATGCCATGTAGCAAGAAGGGGTGAAAGCTTCCATAGCATTTGGAATTTGTGGAAAAGCAAATGGTTAAACATCCAAGGTTCTCTTCTAACCTCAGGTAGGTCTCTACTTATACAAGTAACCTAAAAATACTCTCTTGCCTGTGGGTATGTTTTGAAACGGAGAAGACTTATAACAGTGATACAGGAGAGTTGCAGTGTCCTGTAATTTTCCCATAAGCAGGAAATCATTATTTATAGATACCTCAGATGCTTCTGAATTCAGAGATCCAACAAATCTCATATAAAACAAGCTGCAAGTAATAGCTTCGATGTATCTAAATTCTTCAGATAGTAGCTGTATTTCCCTATATTGTGTTTTCAGTTACTAAGCTATGTGCAGACTCCAAGATGCCAAGTTATTAATCTCTGCAAGTTTGGTTGGGTTTTTTTTTTCTTCAGAATACAGAAGGCTAAGGCAAAAACCTATCACCAGGCAATTTTCAAGAATAACCAGTAATTTTGAGTGTTTTGATGGTTGTATTTGAGATACCGTGGGCATGCATTTCATAAGCGTAGGCACTGACAGTTCTTTTCGCAGTGTGTGTACAGCATGGAAAGGATCAGGCTTGAAAGGTTTTATTCTTTTTTAAGCATCATTACCTTTGGAGAAGATTCTGGCTTTTCATAGATATTTTCAAGTACACACAGAATCCAGACTGTGCTGTTGGTACAGTCAACTCTAATGTCAGTTCCGTCATCTGTATTCAATTTGTATTCAAATTTCAAACAATTCACATTTCAAACCTATTAGGTTAGTTTTAGTAGGGGCAACATATTCCCAAATTGTCCTATTGTCCACATACCCTGTAGCAGCTCTGCTGGTCCGCTGAGAAGGGCTGGGAATAGGACTGCATAGAAAACTGGGTTCATGAAAGAAATTTGGAAAGATGCAAAAGGATGTGAAGTGGCCGTGTGTTCCTACAGTTACTGTAGGACAACTGATGTGCTGAAAGGTTGGCACTCTCTAAGGTGATGGCAGCTTTTTAATCTGCATGTTCCTTGCAGTGGGGGTTAACACATTTACATTTGTTCCCTGGTACATAGTAGATGGAAATGATCACTTCCTTAAAAAAAATAAATTATCCTCCTTTAATTAAAAATCAGAAACTGCAAATGCATTATTATGTTGGTGAAAACACTTCTAACCATGACCTCAATGTATTTTCTTTTTTCTTTAAGAGGTGAAGGCACGAATACTCTTGGCACTTCTTGAGTATACAGGTAATTTTGCTTGTTTTGGGAATGGGGGAAGTGAATGTGGATGGTTTGAGATTTTTTTTTCTTTTGAACAGAATACTGTGTTTAGAAAAGGGAAAAAGTCTCAGATATGATAACCTGATAGTCACCAACTTTACCCCTGTGTTAACAGTGAGGATTGCTGAAGAACACAACAATTCCAAAGACATTTCTAACAAACATTGCACTTTTTTTTAAAATGCAGAATACCTTCTCTGGTCATTTACTTTGCAACTTGGCAGATGAAGTAGCTACTAAATCACTGAGCCTGTGCACAGTACTTCTGCTGTCATTCTTCTTTTGGGATTTTTCCTATTAACCATCTTTTTTCTTTGCTTTGCATTCCCATTTATGTCCAGGCTTACCTTACTATTCCAACCCATACCTTTCCTTTCATCTTTTTTAAGATGATACCTTTTTTTAAGTCCCTCCTTTCTGGAAGGGGTCTGATTATTCTGTGTGCTGTTCTGCCATCACCCCATACAGCTTCAAATATACAAAATATGCATGTTATTTTGCATCTGCAAAATAAATGTCAGTAAATCAGTATTTAGAAAATAATACTTATGGCAGAAGATTCTCTACAGTTTGTAGGTGCGCAAGTAAGTAGTCACATTTGACTGTAAAAGCTGATAATTTTAACCATCTTGCAGTACTATATGAATGCATTATTATTTAATGATTTTGTTATGACACATAACAGCAGTTTTGTCAAGGGAAATATAACATTCCTTTATTGTCAGACTTCTTCCAAATATTGTAAAAGTTTTTAGTAATTCCTTAGGTGTAAGAAGGTGTAAGAAGTGACCTTAGAAAATACCTCAGACTTGACTTTTTAAAGTGGTTTTCCCTCTTTATGTGGTTTAATAAGTTTGTAAATTCTATAGTTTATTTTCTGTAAAAGTCTTGTTGTAAAAAGAGCCCAAAGTGCTCTTGCATGCAGTATCTAATGTTCAAGTAGTATTATATGATATCTGGAAATGAGGTGCTGGAGACACAAGAGGGCTGCTTCAGCAGCAGGCAACACAGAGGGAGAACACAGCAAGTCAGCTGCTGTTAGACAAACACAGATAAAACTGAGCAAGGAGAGGTGAGAAAATGTGTGTTGGGCTCAAATCCCCGGGCACTGCTGTGACATTGGAAGGTTTTTGACCATGGAGAAGCCAGTGGGATTGCTGAAGCTGGAGGTGGATGGCATTTTGGAAGATGACAATTCTGTCCATACTGGATTCTGCACAACTTGAGAGACTGGAATGATAAAGAGGTTAATTTTAATAATCAAAACAAAAAGCAGGGAGTCATCGTGCAGAAGCAGTAGTGATTAAACCATTTATGGAAAACATTCCTGAGATCCTGAGAGGCTGGCAAGTGGAAGCAAAGTGATAGCAAAAGTGTGGTCAGTATTATCAGTAGTTGAGGAAAAGATTGAAGAAGATCTCAGAAGGAAAACGGAGCAGAATGGCCTTACTTTGGGAAATACTTGGAGTTCAAGAAAAGCGTATTTTTAAAATCGCTATTAATTTTGTGAATACAGAATTAGTTCTACTTACAAGGCCAGGTTGGACAGGTCTTTGAGCAAACTGGTCTAGTGGAAGGTGTCCCTGCCCATGGCAGGGGGTTGGAAATAGATGATCTTTAAGGTCCCTTCCAACCCAAACCATTCTGTGATTCTATGATTCTGTGACTTATCCAGTCATCTAAAGTCTTGCCAGCTCCATCGTAAAAGTGAAAAAAGGAGCTAAGCGTCTTGGAGGCAGAGGAATCTAAAAGTGAGGACAAAGATTTTGGGCTTTGGAAAGACCTCGATATCACCTAATCTTTTTCTCCTACTCTGAGAAAGATTAAGTCTACCTGTACCATTTGTGATTGATGTTTGCCTAACAGCTCATAATGATAAAAATACCTGAACACCTTCAGAAAAGAGAAGGAAGCACTGAATATTTATCACTACAATTTTCTACTTTATTGAGAACATGTTTCCTTTTCTAACTCTTATGACCTTTAGCTAATCTAATGCTTGTGCCCTCTGGAAAAAATTGGTAGGTTAGCTAGTCCCTAATTTAAATCAACTACTAATGGTTCTACCTAGGGACCTGTCCTGGACTTTCCTGACACCATAAATCTCTGCTGCTTCCTGGATAGGCGATGATGCTCTGGTCTTATTTCGTAATTTAAAATTAATATATATATTACATTTGGGTAGATTTTGTTCTGGTAGCAACACTTCTATGTGCCCTGTCTACAGTCTACAGCAGGCAGTCTTCATCTGCCCTGCCCAGCTGGCACCTGTGGAGTTGATCAGATGGTGCAGTCAGTTTTAAAGCTTCTGACTATACTTGTTTTCCTGTGGAAAGTAAATGTTTTTGTGCCCAGCTGGTTCTCATGTTGCAGCAAAGAGATCTAACTCACATCCTTCACCTTGTAACATCAAAAGTACATAAAAATGATGGCATGTACATGTACAAGATAAACATGCATTATTTATGAAGAACTACTTTAAATTCCGGAATTTAAATACATTTCTATATAATTTTAGAATTATAAAATAATCTTTTAATGTGAAAAATGTCAGATTTGGTCATGGAGTGCTATTTCCTGGGAATAATATTAGGCTATAAACTTGTAATTTACTTTACATTAGAATTGTTTTTTAGACAAAGGAAAAAAATCCAGCCCCGTTCATTTGCTGTGAATTAATCTCCTGTTGCATTTTTACGTTTCCTCTTTTGGCTTTTACCCATCACAGACAGCGAGATACAACTGAGGCGAGACATGGTCTTCTGTCAGAGCCTAGTGGCCACAGTCTGTGCTTTTTCAGAGCAACTAATGGTAGCCTTAAACCAGATGTTTGACAACAACAAAGAATATGAAATGGAGACACTGGAGGCCAGTAGAAGGTGGTTGGAGCAGATAGCCAGTGCGGGTCTTCTCCTTCATTTCCAGTCCCTGCTGTCGCCTAACCTGGTAAGGCTCCTCATGTGGCATGCTTGGTCACAGCCCGTGGTTGTTCCCTGAACCAGGGACATTGTTAAACAGTCTTAGTTATAAATGTGTTTTTCTTTGTCCTTTGTGCTTAGCTTGTTACTTAATTAGCTGCCATTTGGAAAGTTTGCGATCTAGATAATTACAGATACGGGAGGTGTTTGTCTGTGATATGGGAAATATTTTTTCCACAAAGAAAGTATTATATTTATTTTGAGTTAGCAGATAGTGAATTTGACCTTGACTTCCCACCACTATTGTAGCTGTTCCCTAGGAGTGAATGTGGTATTAGGTGATATCCAGAACTTCAGTTTCCAATAAGCATCAATGCAAGATGAATAAAATACCTGGTCTGGATAATTTTATCAGCCCCTCCCCAAAAAACAGAAAGTCTGTAGTAGTTGAAGGACTAGATGTGCTAGTCTGGTTTGCTGCTGTCACAGGGCAAATCTTCATAGCCTGTCAGGGTAATTTGAAATCTGCTATTTCTTCACAAGGTTTGCCAAAGAGCTATGGCTTGAGAAACAATTAAGAAAGGACATGGATTTGTAGTCCTCTAATCCCTAGTTATCCAAAGTGCTGCTTCAGCTATTTAAGCTGCTTCTCACAGAAGACAGGCTCCTGCTAACCTCAAGAACTGTGAAGTAGTCTGCATGGTCTGCTCTGTGGCAGTCTTCTCAACCTCTGGAATTGCTCACTGAAAACAACTGATTTGGTACATCTGTCTGTATAAAAGTCCATGCAACAGGCGATGTTCCTAGTATCAAAGGTCTTCTTTCCTTGCCTTCAGCAGCAAATTGCTGACAAGTTGACCTGGTAAACTTTAGAAGCAGAAGCAACCAATAAAACTAAAGAAGTTTCAAAATCACTATGATGAAGTATTAGTCTGTGGTATTGTTGGTGAGCACTGGCTTGAGCCAGTCTGAGTAGCTACTTCGTGGGTAGTTGAGATACCTTTGTGGGCTTGCACAGGACAGAGTATGTACAGCTGTATGTATAGGTGTACGGGTTAAAAACAGTTAAGTCAGTGCCTGACAGAAAGAGGAGGGCTCTTTATCCACCTGAGGAGTAAGTGAAGAAAGCACAGTCAAGGGAGTTCAGGCCCATGTCTTGAGTCTTGGATGCTTTTTAGCACCATGCAGCACCAACATGTCCTGGTGCTGGTGTCCTCAAAGTTCTAGAGTAAATTCAATTGATGCCTGTCTTACATTTTTCCATGTGCTTAGTTGTCAAGTTATGACAAAATCACTGTTGTCTTTACAGCACTGGATACTTCTGGGTTGTTGTTTTTTTTATTTATTTCAAGATTGTAGAGATTTCCTTTGTAGTGAAAATGCATGCTACTTAGCTATTTTCACATAATCGGATACCAGCAGGATGCCTTGTCAAATTGAAAGTAAAATTGAATTTAGTCTTCTCTGTCAAACTGTTCTTAACCAAGGGAAAAGTATTTAACGGCAACTTTTTCAATACCTGCTCAGCACTATTTTGCTTACAAATGATCCATGTTATTTTAAACGAGGGTATCTGAAGGAAATTACACTCATTATGGCTAGAGTTCAGTAAAGAATGAGCAGTTGTGCAAATATTTCCCATGTCACGGTTTTCAGACTATTCTGCTGATAAAACTGCTCTGTCCATAGAGACTTCATAAATTGAACCAGGAGACAAAAATATTTCTGGCAGCTTTGCTATTTCATAAATACAAGGGGAAATAGATCAGGGAAAATCATGGTTTTATTATTTTTTTTTCCTTTATGTAATTCAGTAAGTTATAGTTTATTCTCATTGTATAGGCAGCTTATTATTCTTTGCCTTCCTACTGTTTCAGTTCTTAGAGGAGGAAAAATGCATGCCTCAGATTTCCATTTGGCTCTTGCTAGCTTAAGGTGCTAGAGGAGGGCTATATAAAGAGTAGAATTACTTTAAGTGATTATTGATTTCTGCTATAATTGCTCTGCATATTTAACTCAAGACAACCGTACTTGTAGATTACTATTTTCCTTTTCAAAGGTTCAGTAAAGTGTCCTGAGAAGCTAGTAATTTATTTCCTGAGGCTTTTTTTGTTAAATTAGTCTGGATCTCTTTAGCTATCTCTAGCGCAGGAATACACAGAGTGAACCATAGGTGCAAATCAGAATACTGGCATATCTACATACATGATTTGTATCTGGAGTTTTTTGTAAGTGAAGGTGCAAATCACCTGAGCTGTACTCCTTCTACTGGTTCAATTATTGGTGCTCAGAGTGGACACGGTGAACTCTCATCTGTTGCTTATAAATGAAATGCTAAAGTTATGGCATTCTTTAAAAAAAATTGCTAAAAAGAATAATTTGTTTTTCACATTTCCCTTCTGTTAATTTTCAAACTAGACCTGTGTCAAGAGAAGCTGTTGAAGGCTGGTATCTTAGAGAAGTAATGGTAGCTATAAATTAGCTATTAATTTACTATGTCAAATGATAACATTAATTTTAATAATCCTGGACTAGTAATAAAAGGGAAAGTTCCAATAGAAACAAAGATATTTATGTTATGTAGGAGTTAATTAGGTTATACGCTACATCAGCAAAATGTTGCGCAACATTCTTAGTTATTTTTTTATGTTCTGCTCTCATATTATTTCTGGTAGGGAAAACATCTGGCTGAAATGACCCTTTCACTTTTTCTTTTGCCTTTTTTAGGCTGATGAGCAAGCCATGCTAGAAGATACATTGGTTGCACTGTTTGACTTGGAAAAAGTTACTTTTTACTTCAGACAGTCAGAGCCAGAACCACTAGTTGCGAGTAAGTAATTATAATTAATATCTGACTTTTACAGTTTGGGAAAAATTTTCTGTATTTGTAACATTTTTATCTCCTAGAACATTACCTCCCACAGGGAAAATTATGTAACTTGGGATTATGGAGAATTAGTAGATCTGTAGCTCTCCTAATATTCCTAGATCTCCTGAAATACAGTTAACATCAGTGACAATGCAGAATCATTACCTGGCAACGTCAGTAACCCTGGGGGAAAAAATGTCTGCTTAACCGAATTTTCCACTGGGAGTATGTGACTGCATCAGGAAAGTCCCTGGCAGATCTAGTTGTTATTGTAGAGTCATGTGTTAAATAAGCTTGAAGGTCTTAAGAGAGAAATGCAACTGAGATGAGATGGAGAAGCATAAAACCGATTTCATTTTATCATCTGAAGGACAAAGTAGATCTTGGAAGAGTTCCTTGAAAGGAGACAGTGAACACGATTAGGATAGCTTTAAATTGAGCAAGAGACTTCCTCTGAGAGCTGCTGGTGCAGATGCTCAGGGTCCTGAACCCTTCCTCCCAGCACTTGCCCAACTCACAGGAAGGGACTGTCTTCGAAGTCTGCTGTTTATACCCTTCACTCATAGCCACTCCTTTATTAATATGTTTTCAGCCAGTAGAGATTTTCCTGCAGTGAACTTTGTATAGTGAGCAAAACCCTTCATTTTTTCCTAAGCCTCATAACTCCCCTGGGAAGGGAGGAAAGCATGTCTGCTTCACATCAAGCTTTTCTAAAACAATTCCCTTGCTGGATTGAGACCACACATGAGAAAACTCCCATGGTAACCAAAACCAGAAGACACAAAGCTCCTCCATAAAACGATTACTGAGAAGTTGCCCATGCTCTGAAGATTTCAGTAATGTAGGGCTGGTAGTCAGCCTATATAAGACCATTTTTATTTCTGTATAATTCAGGGAAGGACCTTGTTCAGAGTGTTTGTTTTAAAAAGAAGCCCTGCTAAACCAGGTAACAACATGGAACTGGAGTTACAGGAGGGCATCCTGATGGGGAGTTAACCCTATGCCTGTGTCATGAACCGTTCATATTGTTGTATCTTCCCACTGAGGTGTCTGTGCTAAAACAGAGATAAATGGAGAGTCCTGGTGTTCTGGGATTGCAATAAACTCTGTATTTCCTTTTGGTTTGAGTGCTATCACCACAGTCATCCTGACTGGTTACAGAAGACAAGGAACAGGCAAATTTTTTTTTTTCTGCTTATGCTTCTGTATTATTAATAAAAGAAAAAAGTCTTTTTCTTATTACCAAAACTAGTGGAAAATGTTCCTTTGAAATATTTTCCATGTAGATACAAAATAACTCATGCACATAGTGTAAAAACAACATAATGAGATTATTGATGCAAATCACTAGATTTTATTGTTACTGCTTTCAACTTGGAGACTTGTTTACGGAAACTTAAAAAGGAAACGCACATAAAACTAAAATTGTATTAAACTGACTTCCTGTGAGAGATTTAGATGGAAATTTTTCACCAACTTTTGCTAATAGTCGCTACTTGTTAATTGTTTGGCATAACACGCACAAAAATGTATGTTGGGGAACCACTGTAACTGCAAAGTGATACTGCTAGTGGCAGTGAACTTGACACCAGTTAATGTATTATGACATTTAGTTTGTCAAAGGGTAATGAAATGTGCTGTTACAGTTTTATATATTCTACAATAATACTTTTTTTTCTCAGTTGAGTCTTGATTTTAATAGTAATTTAATGAATATGCTGGTAGCTACTGTATATTTACTTGTGCTCTGTCCCACACAAATTTGAGGAGATACTGACTCTATAAGTCACACTGACCATAGACACCGTGCATCTGAGGAAGGCGCATGTGATTCCAGTGATTTCTGGATCTTCACATTCACAGGGAATACAAGTAGGGTGTTGACAACTACATTATTTGCTTAGTGTTTTTGCTGTCGTTGGCAGGCTGGCAAAGATGATTGTCACTACTTCTCTGTTTATCTACTTCTTGATAATGGATAGGCCAAAAGTGACCAGAGCAACACTGACTATAATGTAAAATGCTGCACATACTAGTTTTGCGTCTGCAGCGATTTCTTCTCTAACCACGTGAATTTTGGGTGCAACAGTTTCTGGAAAAGGGCATGCCATTGCTTTTAATGAAATAGGAACACTGATTTGTATTCTTAGACGTACCAATCACATACCAAGCAGAAGGAAGCCGGCAGACGCTGAAGGTTTACTTCTACCTTGACACTTACCATTTTGAACAGCTTCCTCAAAGGCTGAAGAATGGAGGGGGATTTAAAATCCATCCAGTACTTTTTTCACAAGGTAACTTGAGTTTTAATTTTTTTTCCCAGTTTTTTAAACTTAATTCTGTTAAAACTCTGCTTACTGTGATTTAAAAACTTTGTAATGATAAGGGCATAATGCTTGTAATTAAATATGTTGTTTAATTTGGGCATTTATTGAGAATTTTGAATTAAAATGTGAACTTAAGAAATGCTGAGATTTCTGATAGAAAATAGACGTATGGGTATACATTTCTAAGTTTATAGCTGCTAAATGATTCCAATACTAAAAAACGAATGCTCTTTCATCAATCTTGTTTTGTTCTTTGCAGACTTTAGTGAACAATAGTGAGACAATGAAACTTGCTTTTAAAAGGGTTTTGCATTCCAGATGCTATCGTAATCTTTCCCTGTTACTCGAAAAATAGAGACTAAATTGTTCTCCTCGAGAAGTCTCTCTCTTTAAAAATGTTATGAAGACTTAAATAACATTTTCAGGCTTTTGTTGTTCTGGCACAGCAAACGTTACCGAAGTGATGAATGGTGGTGCTGGTGCTCAGACTGTTCATGAATTGCAGGCAGCCCGCATTAGCTGCAGTGTCATTAGGGTTTGATTCACTGAACTGGTGAATGCGAAGTGCTGATTGCCTTGAGCCGCCTTGCACTCCCTTCCTTCTGAAGGTGCTGAAAGCACTCCCTTCCTTCTGAAAGGCTTCCAGGGTCTATGTGGAATAGGCAGAAGTCAGGCATACAAATGAAGGCTTCAAGGAGGATTTGGGTCTCTGATAGATAAGAAGGATGTAAAAGGATATAGTGAACAGGAAGGTACGTGAAGAAATAGCCAAACTTACTGTAAACTTAAAACACACAGGTTTCTTTAAAACAAGATCCCTGAAGTCTGATTTTTAAATAAACTAATAAAAACAGACTTCAGTGGATTTATTTTGCAAAGATTTATTTCAGTCATCAGGGAAAATGGGAACACTGAGCAGGAAACACATTTCAGTAGAGCAGACAAAAAGGCACATGAAAGAGAGCAGAAAATACCTTGGTTCATGTGAAATCCTGGAAATACTATTTTTATTTTTATTTTTATTTTTAT